AAGCATGAAAAACTGCCCCTTATTACTTGTAATAGTTAGCCAAGTGTCATGTTTGTATGCTGCCATGTGTCCTTAGGTAGTTTTATGTGAAAACTACATTTTCCTTGTATTTATTGGGCTATGAGTGCTCAAATCCGAGGCATCTAGTATCATCTAGCATATGAGAGTTCAGATTGCAATTGTTGGGCATTCTGAGTGAGGATTTTGTGTGTGCACCTTAGTCTCCTTTGTATTTGTTGTGGGAATTAATATAAAGGTTGGGCATTGCCCGTAAACGTGCTTGTGTGTTTGTTTTCCACTGCATACTCTTGTGTTCGTTTATGTTGGCTTGAAAAGACTTGTGTTGTGCGTTTTGTGAGAAGAAAATCGTGAGGAAGGCTGACTGGTTTGGTGGACAAATCAGGTCGTACGGTGGGAAAATTTCGGTGATAAATTAACCCCTGTAACAGTTGGTATCAGAGCCCGGTGTTGCTGTTCGGCATGGCTGAAGATTTTGGGTCTTCGACAAATCCAAATCCTACTCGTGTGATGATGCTAGAGATGGAATCAAGGCTGCAACGCCTTGAAGCCTTGGTTGGGCCGCCCCTAGATCCAATGGATCCACCGATTTTGCAAAGACTCGCTGATGGGAAGCGAGATATCGATCGTTTGTCAAGTTCGTTGGACGATCTGCCCCAATTTGTGGAGGACAGATTCACGTCCGTTGCTGAGGAGATGGGACTTCTCATTGATGCCGTTGAGATGAAGCTTGAGGGAATGCTTACTGATTTGACGGTGCTTAAGAGGGCTGTTCGAAACGAAGGATCAAGTTCTGAGGGCAGAACATCGGGATCCAAAGTTCATGTGCCGGAACCGACTGCGTTTGATGGTGTACGCAGCGCCAAAGAAGTCGAAAACTTTGTGTGGGATATGGAGAATTACTTCGAGGCAGCCAAGGTTCCGGACCGCGAGAAGGTGACCATTACAAGCATGTATCTAGTGGGGGATGCAAAATTGTGGTGGCGTGCTCGTTTTTCGGACGATGCAAGTGCCAACCGAGTGAAGATCGAGACTTGGGAGGTGCTGAAACGGGAGTTGAAAGAGCAATTCCTACCTTGCAACATGGGCTGGATTGCAAGGGAATCCCTTCGGCAATTGAAGCACAAGGGAACCGTGAGGGAGTATGTCAAGGACTTCAGTTCTCTGCTCCTTGACATACGTGATATGTCCGATGAAGATAAGCTGTTCAACTTCATGGCTGGATTGCAGCCATGGGCCCAAACCGAGTTGCGGAGACAAGGTGTGAAGGATTTGCCTAGTGCCATCTCGGCAGCAGATCGACTTGTCGATTACAAGGTGATGGGGGCCGATGATTCCGATAAGGAAGGCTCGAAGAGGGATAAGTCCAAAGGGAAGAAGTTCGGTGGCAAGGGTGGCCGGAACTGGAAGCAAAAAGAGAGCGGTGATGGCGAGGGATCCACGGTGCAGGCCAAGACCGGTGGACAAACCGTCGTCAACACACAAAACCGTGGCTGCTTTCTATGTGATGGCAACCACCGAATGAGGGACTGCCCTAAGAGGAGCAAGTTGAATGCTTTGATGCGGTAGTCGGATAGTGAAGAGGATTCGGACGAGACGAGGCGTGCCAATCCAATTCAGTTGCTGAGTGCTTTGGTCGTGGACAAGACACCCAACGGCACCAAGGGCTTGATGTATGCCTCGGTGCTGATCAATGGCAAAGAAGTGAAGGCAATGGTTGACTCGGGAGCAACTCATAACTTCGTTGCCGAGAGAGAAGTCAAGAAGCTGGGCTTGACTCTCTCGAAACATGCAAGCCAAGTCAAGGCTGTAAATTCAGAGGCGAGGCCGGTGAGAGGCAGAACCGATGTTGATCTAGTGATCGGTTCGTGGAAAGGGCAGTGCGGATTGACTGCCGTACCACTAGATGATTTCGATGTGATATTGGGGCAAGAGTTCCTACTTGATGCCAAGGCTGCGGTGATACCGTTTCTCGGTGGGTTGATGATTATGGACGAAGAGCGTCCATGCTTTGTCGAATGCTCGTACGTGACTAAAGCAAAGGCGGGAAAGAAACCGGTGGCAATGTTGGTTGTGGTGCAATTGGAGGCAGAATCGAACGACGAGGAGTCATCGAGCCTAATTGCAGCCGTTGGAACCAAGACGGTGAATTTTCGGGCTGGTTTGCTTGTACGTGCATTGCTGAGAAATGAGACGAGGGCTAAAGGCAAGTTAAGGTATTCATTTGGGCTTATGAATGGGCATTGTGGCCTTACTTTTGTTCCAAGTTGCTGCCGTGTGTGGCACAACTCGTGGGTTCGAAATGTGGTATTCTCTGAATTTGTGTTGCGTGTAGGGTTTTTGTTGGGCTGGTTTCTGTTGTTGATGAAATGGAAGCCGTGCTTGGGGATTTCCGTGGGCTGGAGGTCTCCTTTCTCGATCGGTGTGGCAATCGAGATAAAATGCTAGTAGTGCCAAAAGCTAGCATTTTCACTTGTGGTTTGGTGCTGCCATTTGAACGTGGTTGGCGTTCGTTTTTCTGAGGGCTGAAAGAATATGTGGGATGTTCGTGGGATCAGACTTGGAATTCGGGGTTCGATGTGGTGCTGGTGCTTAAGAATAATCGAAGACGATGGCAAGGCAAGTGGAAACGAGGGAAAGCTGAAGCCGATGGTTTCTGTTCGATGAGGGCATCGAACACCGTTGGTGGGGGAGGTATGTTACCCCCTTAATCGGTGATATCGGTAATGACTCGAGTGTGGCCAAGTCATGGCCGAGAAATGGTGCCAAGTGGGGATTGGCACAAGGCAGCCACACAATCGGCCAATGAGTGGTCGAGTGTCGGGCAAGCATTTGGGGTGTTTGACCGAGAAAACAAGGATCGGCTTGATCAAGTGGGAACGGTGATCGAAAGTACAAGTGGCTGGCACGGGCGTTGCTCGGCAGCAAATGCGGACAAACGTGGGCAGTAATCGGCATGCGGCCGATAACTTAGGCAAACGAACGTTCGAGGGAAATTGACCACGACTTGACAAGTGTGGGCAATTTGGCACGACTGATAGACCGTGTTGGCAAAGAACTGGCAAGTAATCGGTAAAGGCAAGCAAACGTGCGGAAAAGGCAAGGCAGATGGGCTGCCTAGCAACTGGCCGGGCTGTTTGGGCCGTTTGGCGCACGCTCGCGGGCCCGATCAAGTTGGGCTTCAAAAATCAGCCTTAGGGGCGTATTTGAGGGAAGTTACGGAGCGGTTGAGGCCTGGAAAAGCATGAAAAACTGCCCCTTATTACTTGTAATAGTTAGCCAAGTGTCATGTTTGTATGCTGCCATGTGTCCTTAGGTAGTTTTATGTGAAAACTACATTTTCCTTGTATTTATTGGGCTATGAGTGCACAAATCCGAGGCATCTAGTATCATCTAGCATATGAGAGTTCAGATTGCAATTGTTGGGCATTCTGAGTGAGGATTTTGTGTAAGCACCTTAGTCTCCTTTGTATTCGTTGTCGGAATTAATATAAAGGTTGGGCATTGCCCGTAAACGTGCTTGTGTGTTTGTTTTCCGTTGCATACTCTTGTGTTCGTTTACGTTGGCTTGAAAAGACTTGTGTTCTGCGTTTTGTGCGAAGAAAATCGTGAGGAAGGCTGACTGGTTTGGTGGACAAATCAGGCCGTACGGTGGGAAAATTTCGGTGATAAATTAACCCCTGTAACACCTACCTATATAAACCTCTGTAATAACCTCCGAGAAGACATCATCAAGAAAATAATAAAAGAAAAGCAATACATTTCTCTTTCTAAATCGAATTTTCAAGTAATTCATCCTTAACATTTATTAATAGTTTCACCGAAACTTCATAATTAGGGTTCCGGTAAGAATCTTGAGGGTGCAATGTTCGGACACCTTCAGTTACATAATAATATTATGTTAACTAGTCAATAAAGGCAAATAAAATAAGAGGCCAAAAAATTAACATTAATGTGGTTGACAGTTATATTATTGACAAGGACAATAATATTATTGTAAACCACAATAATATTAGTGAGGTTGACAATAATATAACTGTCAACCAATGTGATATTACAATACTAGACAGTAATATTACAGTTAACCACAGTAATATTATTATGTTGACCAGTGAACAAAACAATCGTCTTGTGGTTCCAAGGGTCGCCAATCCTCCCCTGCTCCAAACATTCCTAAAGCAAAGATTGATAGAAGCACTGATAGAACGCCTCAATCGAAGATGAAAGGTCGTGGTTCTCGTATTCCCAAACAAGAATCTGCTACCCCTACAATACATGCACGTGAAGGAATCGACTTCTATTCTTTCGTGCCCAAATTTATGGTCTGTCTTATTCAAAATTATGTTAACGTGATGACAGATGGCAAATGTGGGTATCGGTGCATTGCTCAAGTCGTGTACGGTGATCAAGAAAGATGGCAATAAGTGAGAGGTGAGTTGCTTATTGAGTTATACGAGCATGCTAATGCGTACACGACGATGTTTGGTAGTACTAGATACGTTGAGGTGATACGCAAGTGTACTGGCCCTCAGGCCCTTGTCCACAAGCTTATTTGATGGACATGAATGAATGGGATTGGGCATTGCTAATAAATATAGTGCATTAGTGGTACTTTTGACCCAAGTAGGAAGTATGACTTACCTTCCTGTGTTTGGCTGTGGTCACTTATCATGTATGATTGTTGTGACATTGCACAACAATCATTTCATGCTTGTTAATTTGATCACGAGTCCTCTATCACCTATCCATCCAGCATGGGTACATAGAGCTAAAAACTTGAGGACTTACTCAAATGGTTGAACCCCGACTACTCTTGTACGAACAATTAAAGTCTAGTCGGTAGTTTACAAAATGTTCGTTTATTGTAATTTATATTTGTATCTGATTTTTAGTTCAATTTGTATTTGTATTTGAATTTTAGGCTAATTTGTATTTTTACTTGAGTTAAGAATATTTATGTTAATTCATTGTATTTATTTGAGTGTTAACAAATAAGTTGGTTAAATAAAAAAAAAAAACTCAATTAGTGATTTCGTACAGCATTATACGAATCTTTAGCTTACATTTCGTGTAAAATACCACGAAATGTAAGTTACGATTTCGTGTTCTTTGTCACGAAACTAAAGAACGTTTGAAAACCCCCAATTTCGTCCTCCTTGTTCTATACTGAATAAACGCATATACTTCGTGTATTTGTACACACAGTTGATCAATTCATTTTGTGCTATAACCCATGAAATAGGGGCGGATTTTGGTTTTCTTTGGGTAAAGTTACAAACGAAATAAATCGCACTGCAAGCAAGTAAAAAACCTTCCATGAATAGCATTTCACTTTGCTTAAACTCACTTGGTTCCAACTTTTCCTTTTAGACGACGTCGTACTACGCCCTTCCAATTAGTTTCGTGACATATATAAATTTACTCAAAAGCTTTTAATTTGCAAGCAGAATAATGGCGGCAAGAGCAACGGCGGTGGAGGCGGAGGAAGAGGATGCGGAAAACACGGCGGCGGAGTTGGGCTCGTACAAAGGCGAAGTTGTATTAGTGACCGATTGTGAAGAGGAGATTATGCTGCTTTGGGCAATCCAACAGCCAATTTTCTCCAAGCACAATGCTTACGTCAGCCAATCATCTCTCCAGCTCAAAATTGATGCTTGCGGCCGCTCTCTCTCCATTCTACAGTCCCCTTCTTCTCTGGTTCGTCCACTTAATTTTGTGTGTGTGTGTGTGTGTGTGTGTGTGTGTGTGTGTGTGTTTTGATGTTGAGATGTTTGATTTCATACTGTAAAGGTTGCTGATTGAGTTTTTGTTTAAGCCCAATCGTGATTTTGGGGATTCTATTTATATAACTCTTAATTTGCATTTCGATTGAAGGATTTGAATTTGAATTTGATGAGAGTGGATTTCAAATACACAACTCAAAAACTAGTTCAAATTGTGAGTTGGGGATTTGAATTTCATCGTGTATAACGAATTTCATCGAAAACAAGCTGTTGTGGATAAATGTTATTCATAATGTAAACCATATTTAACCATACTCTTAGTAGAGATCGTCGGAGGGTCGGGTCGATCGAACAGAGGTTGTTTCGAAGTTTGGAATGTATTCATATCTTTATCTAAAATTTCAAATAGCCCAATTATTCATGCATTAATGATCATCAAAACCTCAAACTGTTGTACACAATAATCAAAATGGAGTTCGTGCGTTAGAAATGCAAGCCAACTATGGAACCGCGTAGAAGTCGGAGTATTGTGTAATAGCCCTAGTTTCTTTTCGAATTTTTTTCAAATTGAACACCATTTGTACGCTTTTCTAGAAGCAGTTTAAATAATATTGTCAAATATAATTGTTAACTGTGTCGGCGTGTCATGCATCTGTGTATGCAGTTTCTTAAATGTAGTATAATGAATCGGAACTTTGCCTTCTGGATTCTGGCTTATGCTGTGGTATGAGCTAGATTTGTACGTAAATTTTCTTTTACTGATTCTAACTTACTTCTCTTAAATTAGATTTTTCTACTTATCATATAGTGCCTAGTGGGGTTCCATTATTTTAGTTTGTTCCTTGCATTTTTTAGCTTTAAGGCCTTGTTTGGTTTGGAGATTAGCCATTACTAACTAAATAATTGGACTTTGTTTGATGTTTGGTATACTCAATAACTTGCCTATCCGCAAATATTATGTGGCTTATCTTGCCTTATCTTGTTTTTTAGGTAGTTTTTTTGTTGGACGTCCCGGGGTCCGATAAAATAATTCGGTTTTCATTAGATTATTTAATCTTATCTTGGCAACCAGACGAGGCCTTAGCAGACATCTCTAGAGGGTCGAACCATGGTTGTTGTGAAGTTAGGAATGTATTCATATCTTTATCTCAAATTTCAAATAGCCCAATTATTCATGCATTAAAATGAGACCCCGTCGGTCATGCATCTCTCTATATGCAATTTCTTGAATGTGGTATCCTCAATCGGAACTTTGCCTTGTGGATTCTGGTTCCAACTTACTTCTCGTAAATTAGATTTTTCGACTTGTTATATAGTGCCTAGTGCCTAGTCGTTTCCGTTAATTTAGTTTGTTCCTTGCAATTTTGAACTGTAATGCAGATGATTGGAAAAGGGTCGTCGTAAACAAATGAACGATACGAGGTAGAAATAGCATTTTACATCACAAGGGATTAAGAGTCGACAAAAAGCTAGAGTCTACCAAATTTTAATTCCTGTAATAATTTCAATCAAGTACTGGACAAGTTAATTTTGTAATTTATCTCGATTCGTCACTCCGTTGATAAATTATTTAATATATTTAATGATGGTTTCTCTTTCTTGTCTATTGCAGGCCACTCCTGGAGTAACAGGGTCCGTTATGTGGGACAGCGGCATTGTTCTAGGCAAGTGTTTGGAATATTCTGTGGAATCTGGAAAGATTCTCCTCCAAGGGAAGAAAGTTGTCGAGCTGGGATCTGGCTGCGGATTTGTCGGGTAACACTTCATTAATCGTTCCAAATACATATTTATGAATATTTTTTTTTAGCATTTCTTAAATACATTCCATTTGGCTCTTTAAGAAGTTGGTATTGTGGGTGACGTCTGGGATAAACGCTCATCTTTATAAATCGTGAGTATTTGCAAATATGCTGAAAATTTGACTTTTAAGCTGCCGATTTTGCAAGTAGTGTGTTTGTTTACTAACAAGTTAATTTTCAGCTTAATTTTGTGAAAAAAATACACAGACCTGGATTCGAATAAATTTTTCATCTATTTACAGAAATACCAACAGAAAGAAGCTGCTCTAAAAAAGCTTTCGAGACTATAGGTTAAAACAAACAGTTCCGTAAAACCAAACAAGCCGTCAGGTTTGAGCGCGTTCTTGTTTAAGTTTTGGTCGAACAACTTTTTAAATCATTTATTATCGGCTCACAGGTTTCGGTCCATAATCTTAGAAATTATCGTCTACTCAAACTTGATTTATCGTTTGCAGTTTAAGCTTAGATAATCTAACAATCAAATCCATTTTTTTTAAAGAATTACGGGCTCGGCCTCAATTAGAAAATGGCGCTGTGTAGTTTTAATCTCTCGATTCTTATTTATTTTTAAATAGCCTGTTACAGTTATAATTGAATTTAGTCCCTTATGTATGTGTATTTCAGCTGCATTGCGGCTTTATTGGGAGCTCAAGTAATTCTGACCGACCTGCCCGATAGATTAAAGCTATTAAGAAAGAACCTCGAAAGCAATCTATATGGACATGTGCGTGGATCTGCAACCGTGAGTGAACTAACATGGGGAGATGGTCTACACACAGATTTCACCGACCCTTTACCTGATTTTGGTAAGACTGAATAAGCTCTTTCCTAAGGCCTCGTTTGGTTGCCAAGATAAGGTTAGCCAAGATAAGATTAAATAATCTAATGAAACACAATTATTTTATTGGACCTTCGATGATCCAATAAAAAAACATGCCTGGAAAGTAAGATAAAGCATGATAACATAATATTTACGGATCGACCCGGCAAGTTATTGGGGATACCAAACATCAAATAAAGTTCAATTATTCAGTCCAACCAAACGAGCCTAAAATAATACTTAATTATCTTGAGATTTATGCTGATTTGTAAAAAAATATATATATATATATATGACAGTGGTTGGCTCGGATGTAGTATATAGTGAAGGAGCTGTAACGGATTTGATTGAAACACTTGTAGAACTCTGCGGGAAACAAACTACTGTAATCTTGGCTGGAGAACTTCGTAATGGTATTTATTTATTTATTTATTTATGTATTTATTTTATTTTATTTTTTTAATGATTTGCAATTGCTCTTAAGAAAATTCTAATGAAATTATTGATGTGACAGATGCTATCCTCGAATACTTTCTCGAAGCTGCAACGAAAGAGTTCGTTGTTGGGCGAATTGATCAAAAGCAGTGGCATCCAGACTATTGCAGTTCGCGTGTTGTTATTTATGTTTTGGTGAAGAAGTAGAAAGATGGACTGAATCGTATTACGGGCAGCCTCGTATTGTACTGGTATGGTTTTAATTTTTTTTTTGTAGGGACAGTCGAGTTGAAAGTTAAAAGTAGTTCCGTATTCTCTAATGCACTAATTATTTCAAGAACTTAACTTAGTCTGATGGTATGTATGTATTTTCATACTTACTGCAAAGAAGCTCAATCGAGTCTACGTTTGGAAAAAATTTAGTTCCCTTTTCTTGTCTCGGTATTATTCCACATTTTGTTTGGTAAGCAACACAATTTTTTTTTTTGCGAAAATTCGAATCCAAGATTCTAAACTCTCATGCCGAGACATGATTTGATGATTTGACTGTTACAGTAAAATTTAAAAAAATGTATACTCTAAAATACGATTGTAAATTACTTTATTTCAAATTGTTCTTCTTTCTTCCTACACTTTAGAAATGATTTTATTGCTATTTTTTTTTGTTAATGAAGGAAACCCGCAGCCAACCATATAGATGCACTGAGTAAACCTACACTCTCGTATAATAGTTTGCAAGTCATACGAGAGACGTAAACCACACTAGGTTAACCATGTGTGACAAGTTCGATCTAGCGATTTTATTGCTATTTTTGAACCGTGTGTTTTAGCACTAGATCTATTTCTGAAAATTGCAAGTTGCATTGGCCAAAGAAAATGCAATCAAGGGGAGAGCTCATAGTTTTATGATCATGGGTTATGAGTTCTAAGAATAGCTCAAACATTTAGACAAATAAGAGTATTTAAATTACATTTTTAACCTTATAAACCAACCACAGTAGTAATATATCCATTCTTTTTTTTTTTTGTTAATAATCAGACTAAAATAGTTATTAATCATTTGAATATAAAACAAGATTTAAATGCGTCCTCAAACTTTCAAATAATTATTTTAATGTCTAATTGAAATGATTTGTTCGACCCTTAACCCGGTGATAAACACCGGGTGAAGGGTCGAACAAATCATTTCAATTAGACATTAAAATAATTATTTGAAAGTTTGAGGACGCATTTAAATCTTGTTTTAAAAATAAAAAAAAAAGACACGTGGCATCAGAAGACCCACCCGGTGTTTATCACCGAGTGTAGGGTCGAAGGAGCCAATTGAAAGCGACCTCTCTTTGTATTCATCGGTGCAACTTCAACTCAAATCCATTTTCATCCAAATTCCAATTTGAATCATTGCCAATTTTCAAAATTCGAATTGGATCAAGTAAAAATTTCACAGTAAATAATAAATATCTTCAAACTCAGAGCGAACATTTAAAAAATTATAATAAACATAGTTAGAGGTGGAACAAGGATTTTTTTAATTTGATAGTCTGAAAATTTAAAAGATTAATGAAAACCTTGCATACTATATAACTTTTTTATTTTTTTAATCTTATATATAAAAGAAAAAAACTAAGAACAACCTAAAAACACTAATGACATATTTATAAATAAAAAAATTGTATATATATATATATATACCTCCTATTTTGCAGTCACTTTTCCTTTTCTAATTACTTCAAACTAAATCTCGACTAACACAGTGTCATCATCCACAACACTATATTATTTAATTAATATCATTATTTTTATTTCCTATTTTTCATTTGTATATTTTTTTTCGAAATAAATTAATTTGTATAAATATTAATATCGTTACCGATATTACTAATAAATTTTATTAAAATGTATTAAACTAATCGATTGAGAAAAAAATACTAGTAAATTGTAAAATGAATATGGGAACACATAAAAAATTCTCAATAAATGTACGATATAAATTAATTAATTAGAAAAACATAAAAAAAAAAAAAAAAGCGTGCAATAAATAAAAGTATAAATAGTAGGTGTGGGTTGTGACACTCTCTCTAACAGGCAACAGCTGTCAAAATTAATAAAGAAAAGAACCCCACTCTTCCATCCCCAGTCATTTGCATTAATCATTATTCATTATCACCTCTCTCTCTCTCTTCTTTCTCTCTCCACAAATATATTAAATTAAAATTAATTCAAAGTATAATAATTAATTGTAGGTGGTGTGTGAAAATCCGCGCACTGGGAAAAAAAAGGGGGAAAGATAAAAAGGGGGGAATATCCAATGAAGTAAAGATGCAGATGATTCTCTGTAGAGCAGCAGCACCCAAGGCCATGGCTTCCTTCCCTCGCTCCAGGGTGAGTTTCTTCCTCTTCTTCCTCCTTCTCCTCCTTCTATCTAATTTAATTGTACAAATTCGTATTTATTCTGAACGCGATCAGGTTTTTTTTAGGGTTTTTAGGGTTTGGTTTTTTCTTTCATATGTTTGTTATCTGATTAGCACAAAATTGAATATATCAGTTCCGATCTTTTTTTCGGCCTTGAATTTCAATTTCTGTTCAATTATTTATTATTTTTTGTTTATTTTTTTAATTCGGAAGAGCTACTGGGATGTAATTTATTTACTTGGTGTTGTCTTTCTTTCATTTATAGTTACTGTGGGTGTAATTTCGTTCGCGTGGTTTGTGTTTATGCGGAGGAGGGTTTGTAGTGGACAAACAAATTTGAATTTGATCAGGGATTTTGATTTTGATTTCGAAATCCTTTTTGGCTATTTAGGGTACCTTTTTGGATTTGGTGTTGAGTTATTTGGCTTCTTCTCTTTAATTGAAACAAAAAATCCACTCTGATGCAAGCATGTTTGCATATTCTGTTCGCAGGCTGTGGTGCCCTTTCGATTTTCTTGACGAATTGCTTCTCGATTTTGTGCTTGTTTGGTTGTTACCCATGTAATTAACCTTTGTTTATTTAAGAAAATCTCCTTGTGGTTTGATATTAGTACTTTCATTTTGGTTCGGAGATTGCTCCCTTTAATAATCGATAAGTTGGTGTGGTTTGTTTTGATTCGCCTATAATATTTTTTTTCTGTATTTGAATTGCAGAAGGGGTCAGAGTTATGTGTATGGCCAGGAATGGGGCAACTTTGTCTAAGAAAGAATCTCTTGTATGGATTTATGCGGCTCTTTTCGTTGCCATTCAAAACCTTGCGTAGTGTCAGCCGAAGAATCGGAGGAGTTTCTCAATTTTGCAGCATAACCAATATGTCATCAAGTCTACAAATTGAACTAGTGAGCTATGGTTTTGAACTTTAAGTTTTAATCGTTATCTTACAAAAATTAGTGTTAAGCTATTCTGCATAGGAATCCGTTGGATAAACTTACATATTTTGTATGTATTTTGGTTATTATTTTCTTGTAGGTACCGTGTCTTCGAGATAACTATGCATACCTGCTACATGATGTGGATACTGGAACAGTTGGAGTTGTTGATCCTTCGGAATCTGTACCTATTATAGAAGCATTAAACAAGAAAAATTGGAATTTAAATTACATATTGAACACTCATCACCATTACGATCACACTGGTGGCAACATTGACTTGAAAGAAAGGTATGGTGCAAAGGTAAGATACACATCTGAACTTCAAGCGAAATGCATCAAAAAGTCGAAGCATGCATGTATTGTATATAGTATAAAATAATTCGAAGCATGCATGTATCAAAAAATCGATGCATCTGAGCTTTTCTAGTTTCACTATGCACTCTAAAATAATTAAGGTTCTGTCATACATAAAATACCAACATAAGCCGGATGTTTATGCTATGAGCTCTAAACATAAGTTGGAGGGCTGTAATAACTCCATTACTCAAATTCACAATTATATCGCTGGACCTTTTGTATTGAGTGAAGCATGTATATCAATTGATATGTGGTTCCATTTTTTTCTGATTTGTGAACGAGAAAGAACTGATCTATCATTTCATTTATGGCAGTTGGGGGTGTTAGCCTAGTTATGCACATTTATGTATGCTCGACATATAGAGTGGATTTAGGAACAGATATTTAAAAGTTACTTCTGAAGCTTCTTACCGATAATTACATTGGATGAATATGTCTATGATTGATTCAGTTGCAGTTGCTTTATTATTAATTTTCAACGGTAAATGATGATGCTCACTATTTTGAGATATACTTGATATAAGTCATTCAGTTTGCTATATTAAAATATATCAAAGCAGTAACTTTTGTGTATATTCTTCTTGTAGGTAATTGGTTCTGGTTTAGACAAGGAGAGAATTCCTGGTATTGACATAGTTCTGAACGACGGAGACAAATGGATGTTTGCAAGTCATCAAGTGCTTGTTATGTCGACTCCTGGTCATACACGAGGTTGTACTTTTATGCTTCAGTTGCTAATACCCCTTAAGAAAAGAAAAGAAAAAAAAAAAACCTGTTAGATGAACAGTAATTTATGCGTTTCATTTTACTAGCTCTATTGTCAGAGTCGGTGGCGAAGAGATGTTGTTGTTCTAGTCTAAACTGCATAGGTGCCGTAATTTTATTAGTAAGCTATATCTCTTGGATTAAAATCATTTAGAACTCTTGTTCCTAATGAGTATTGTACTTCAAATTCATACCATTTTATTCTCATTCACCAAATACAGTGGGGATTCTGTAAACTGCTGTCCTCCCATAATATTTCCTTCAATTTTCATGTTCGTCAAGTAGAAGGCAGAATATTATTATTTTACCTTACCTATTATTGTTCTTTGCAATCAGGACATATTAGTTTCTACTTTCCTGGATCAAAGTCGGTTTTCACAGGGGACACTTTATTCAGTTTGTCATGTGGTAAACTTTTCGAAGGAACTCCACAGCAGGTAATTGAATTATGACTTTCATTGTAAAATATACGTTGTCAACTTGGAGAGATGCTGGTTTTAATTGATTTCAATGATTTTATTTTCTCTGTTAAATCTGGTTGATCATCTCAAATTATCATAACATTGTCATTAATTCTGGTTATTTTATAATATATCAGTAGACTTTCTGGCAATATATGAAAGTGTGAAAAAAAGAATTTTATTTTGGAATTTAAAATAACAATAATACTGTATTTCGTACATTGAGAGTGTGTTTATCCGACAAACTGAGAGGAGTTTGTCCGAGGCATATGTTATTTTACTATTCACATTTTCCTGCCTGCTTTTCACTTTTCTTTTGAATTGGGAAAATCGGAGTTGGGATTTGATCTAAATTATGATTGTGCATTATTTTTGCAACAGATGCTTTCTTCCCTGAGGAAAATTACGTCATTGCCAGACGATACCAATGTATATTGTGGTCATGAATACACCTTTGTAAGTAGTTTTTCTTTTATCATTCTTTTTTTTTTTTGTACTCTCCTTCCACACACACACACACGCACATATTCCAATTTGCATTTATGCTCTCAATCTAATAACACTATGGTGGCTGTACACGTGGCATGTTGGAACAGAGTAATTCCAAGTTCGCACTATCTATTGAACCTGGAAATCAAGAATTGCAGTCTTATGCCACCGACATAGTTCACCTCCGCAACAAGGGCTTACCTACGGTATATTTTCTATAGCCCATCCATTTTGTACATTAAGTAAAATCTTGAAATATATATATATATATATATATATATATATATATATATATATATATATATATATATATATATATATATATATATATATATATATATATATATATATATATATATATATATATATATATATATATATATATATATATATATATATATATATATATATATATATATATATATATATATATATATATATATATATATATATATATATATATATATATATATATATATATATATATATATATATATATATATATATATATATATATATATATATATATATATATTGTAATGTAGTATTTTATTCAGAATTTTCATAAACCCTTCGTGTGCGTAATTTTGTGGAGTTGTGGAGTCAGTCAAGATACAGAAGTTGCTTCGTTTCACGGGGGAGGACATGATTAATAGTATATATATCAAGTTATCGTAGTTGTGTTTCTTTACCGTTGTGGCTATTTTCTTTCGGTACTAAAGAATGTGGCTTTTTTTTTTTTCTGACACGATTTTCTGTCTGACTATTATTTATGTGCATTAGATCCCATGCTCATTAGGAAAGGAGAAGTTGTGTAATCCGTTTCTACGAACATCAAGTACGGAAATTCGAAGGTCACTGAAAATACCAGAGTCGGCAGATGATGCAGAGGCACTAGGTGCCATTCGTCAAGCCAAGGACAACTTTTAGGTTCTGTAAAACTTGTCTTGTTTTGCATTCTTTTACCTGCCTTAATACGAAAAGAATCGTGTAGAAATCGACCATACACGATCTGTGAAGTGAAGATTAGTTTCGGAGTACATTTTACATTGGCATTGTATAGAAGCAAATTTCATCTATAAAATGAAATACTAGTAGTGTAATATTTAAATCCATTGACTTGCCATTGTTTGATTATGTGTTGGGTGATTTACATATATATATATAATGTTGAAAGTTGCACTCTCTTTTTCCTTTTATTTTATTTTACGGTGTCGAGGATTTTGAGCTCACGAACAACTAAAAAATGCTTGAGTTCGAGCTCGAAAAACTTGAGTTCGAGCTTTTCTCGAGCCGGCTCCTCGAGTTCACGAGATTGCTCAGCTCGTTTACCGCCCCTATTGTCAACCCTAACCCTCTCAAAAAAATTTAAATATTGACTGAAATTAGGGGGAAGGGAAAGCATATATTTTCCAATTATTCTTTTCCTAGAGTGGGTGCACGTGTGTTGCGCATGTTGTATTGATTTTTCTATGTATTTCCTTTTTTATTTTATTGTTCCATTTTTATCGAAATAATCTTATACGTCAAATGTATAATATTTTGTTACATTTATAATTTGGGAAAATTAGCAAGATCATTTGGCAAATTCATGTAAGAGGGGACCCTTTTCTTTTTTAATTTGAGGGAAGCCCTTTAGTTGTTAGATTGACTAATTAATAGAAATAAACTACCGATACTACCCTTAATAATTTATAATTGGCTCAACCATAACTTTCTCACTTATATGGCTTCTTTTTTCTACATCTCATCGCTTCTTCTCTTCTCTTTTTGTTTATTCTCTTTTCTTCTCCAACGTCTCTCTCCTTTTCTCGTCTTTTCCATTTTTCTCTCTCCTCTCTTTCTCGATGCGGTGGTGTTAAAGGTGGCGTTCTATCGGGTCATGATGCAGTTCTACCCGGTCGCCGTGAGGCTCCGGATCACCCTAGTTTTTAAAAGGGCGAAGACGATGGGGAGTTGACGTCGGCATATCTAACGTATTTTAATAATTTATTTCCACCAATTAAACGGCCATATATGATAAAATTGGGGATATGTTACAGAATGAAACTGACAGATGTCAAGTATAGGAGTGGTATAATTTGTCTTTTAGATATTATATATACATTGTAAAATGATTTTATCTCAATGGACTCGAAACAAATGCCTTTATAAATATAATTTTTTACAAGATGCAAGGGGCAAAAGAGTAAATATAACATAGAAAAGGTATAATAAAATATCTTCTTTTTATCTAGTTAGCAAAATTGCAAGAGATATTAGATGCATAAATAAAAAAGAAAAGCTTCAAAAGTTGTTCCATATGGTTCAATTGGATTTCTTTTTCTTTTTATTTAAACAACTTTCAGTTATGAAATAGGGATGCTATTATCTTTTTACTACTGATCAAAGCAAAGTGGTTTATCTTTAGAGCAAAGGAACCTTCTGAAAAGCAAACAGAATATTGAGTAACTTCAAAAGCAATTATATTGATGGATTGGATCACCAAACTTGTAGAGTATCACGCACCTGGGTGTTCATCCAGTAGAATCGGACCGGAATTTCGGTAATATAAAATTATAATAATGTAATATAAAATTATAAAAGAAAGTACTGAATTTCGATTTTTCTTGGATAAAAAATGAAATTAAATGAGATTATGATTTTCAATTTGATTTTTTTTAATGGAAAATGGAATTTTATTTAGGCATGATTCGCCAAATTAAACGAAAGAGAAATAACTTTGTTAGAGTCTTCAACATCAAGTTGAGCGATAGAGTCGATAATACTATACATCTAGTTATTTACACGTCACACACAGATTCATGTGTATGCTGTGCAAATTCATGTGTATGCATGTTCAGTAGATAGTTCCTTAAAGTTTAATCAGCAGAATTACGGTTGAAATTCACCTAATGTAAATAACCAGGTGTAACATCTAACTACCCGTACTATTCCCAATTCGTTTAACAGAAAACATAAACATGTGTTCAAAATAACAACCCGAAAATCTATAGGTGAATAAAAATGAAAACTTTTGAATTCTATTAATTGCAACCCAAAATTTTCGGTTCTGAAACAACGTATTCGTTCCAATTTTTTATGTTATGATTTTTTTCGATTCTATTGTAACAAAGTTATAATTATTTTTTTCTTTTGAAACAAATTTTTTTTTTCTTCAGAAGTGTTAATTTCAATTAAATCCGTCCGAATTACAGATGTAGTTGGTATCTTTGATATAATTTATTTGTCTTTTTTTGTGAAAAATGTGGTAATAGTTGGTATGTTTGATATATACTTTATTAGTATTTTATTATTAGGGAAATTACACTTATACCCCTAAGGTATACTAAAATAAATTTAAGGTCCCTGCGGTATTGGTAATTACAGTCACACCTCTAAAACAATTACCAGAGGAAAGATTTCATGTTCTGGAGGACCGATATGCACTATATTTGTTTTGTCGCGAGGCCGTTAATGCTACCGTAAACGAAAATTTATAAATCTTATATAAAATAATAAGGATTTAAGAAATAGTGGTGGAGCTATGTCACCCTTTACCTCTATATTGTCTCCACCACTGGATGAAATATTAGAGTTTCTAACAATGTTTAGGGGTGATTATAATTACTAATACCACAGGGGCCTTAAAGTTATTTTAGCAAAACTCAGGGGTGTAAGTGTAATTTACCCTTATTGTTACATAATAGAAAAATGCGAATAAAATAAAGGTCAAAGCTGGTGATGAAAGCAGTCAACCGACGCCTGATTCTGGTGGACCCTGCAACACAGGATCTGTCCCCCCCTACCCCAATATTGCCATTGGGCATCTCTCTTAATTTTCTTCGCCACCATTTTCTCTCTCTCTATTTCGAATTTAATTTTCTCTCTCTGATTCATCTGAGCACGATTTCTCGAAAATGGCGAACGAAAATGGTGGCAATGGTGAATCGGACCAACAACAGTTGAAAACCTGCGCTGTTTTTGGTGGCAGGGGATTTGTAGGCCGCGTCCTGGTCGAGAGGCTGCTCAGACTCGGCAATTGGATCGTCCGAGTTGCCGATGCCGTTAAGTCTCCCGAACTCAAACCCTCCGAGTCGATTCTCGCCGACGCGCTCGCCTCCGGCCGCGCCTCTTATTTCCAGGTTGATGTCCGTCATAAATCCCAAATCATCAGAGGTAGTTTTACTAATTTTAGGCGTTTTGTTCTTTCTTTTCTTCTTCTTCTGTGAAAATGTTACGATTAATTAATTCGCCTCTGCGATTCTGTGCGGCGCAAATATTTAGGGTTGGAAAACTCAAATTATGAGTATGATAATTTTTTATTTTTTATTTCTATTGGAGTGAATCACAGTTCAATTACGAATCCAATACAAGTTATACAACTATCAGCAACCAGTTGATTACAACAGTGTTGTAACAGCAATTTTTTTTTACGCGTTGACTTTTTATCTTGAATGAAATTCATGAGGTATATGTGTATCTATATCAGTCTTTGGGTGATTGTCATGCATAATTCTTGTTGTGGACCAAGTCATGCAATTATAAGTACGATGCTTAAGCTGGTTTCAACTTTGTAATGTAATGTAAAAAACCCAACTTGAATGTTCTTAATATATTGACTTCTAACCAAACAATGGAAAATCATTGTAATTATCAGGACAGCTCTTAGCAATATCTAAAGGACTATCTAGTTTCAAGAATCTTTTGTCAATACGGAGTATGTTTATAATGATTACTTACCTCTTAATGAAAGCTATTACTCATATCCGTCTACCTACAAAGTGTTCAAAAAACTCATTAAGATGTGTTTCTGATTTAATAGTGCCTCCGATGATGTTTTTACAGAGTCTTCAGTTCTATTTGGTCTTACTAGATTTGACTCTTTGATTCTGACCTATAATATAACTGTTGCTAAGACCTGTTTTTCACTTAAAACGTTGGAACTTCATTATGCTTTTAAGAAATTTTCCGAATAACACTATTTTCTTTCTCTCCAGCTTTTGAAGGTGTTTCAGTTGTATTTTATATGGATTATATGGATCCCGTCCCCACAGACTTTCAACTTTGCTACAAAATCATTGTTCAAGGTAATTTTCATTGCTATGCAAGGTAATAAAACGATATCGTAAGCTATATTCCGTTTCATCCAGTAATAATGTATTTATTGCCTCAACAAACCGCAGGTGCAAAAAATGTAGTCAGTGCTTGTCGAGAATGTAAAGTTAAAAGGCTCATATACAACAGTTCTGCTGATGTCGTTTTTGATGATGCCCATGATATACGCGGTGGAGATGAATCCTTGCCGTATTCTGGCCAAGTATGTGTCTAGCAGTCCAAGTGTAGTTTATCTTTCTGTATTTGCTAATGATTTCTAAATCTCACTCTATCTATCTTGTTCTCTCTTGTTGTGCATGCTGCTATTCTACAGTTCTGGGACATGGTCACTGACCTTAGGACTCAAGCAGAGGCACTGGTCTTATGTGCAAATGATATTGATGGACTTTTAACATGTGCACTTCGTCCCTGCAATGTGTTTGGACCTGGAGATGGACAACTCTTACCCTTGCTAGTGAATATGGCCAAATCCGCCTGGGCTAAGGTTGTGAACTAATTTAGAACTCATAATTACTTCTGATAAGATCTGTTGTTTTATTTCTAAATGTTGTTTGATTGTTCTTTTAGTTGGCGTTCTTATGCTACTTCTGGTGATAGACTACCTGTGCTATTTGGTTTCTCACATGTGATCTGTGAAAACCCGCTTTTGTTTTTTACTATTATTATATTATAATTGTAATGGGTTGATTGTAATTAGAAACTCTGAATGCTATTGGCTTGATCTGTAATTCCTTCGTTTCTTGCATCTTGCATTACTAATAAAGTTAGTTGTGTATTCTTTTTGAATTAGTAATAGGCTTTCTCATTTCAGTTTATTATAGGAAGTGGAAACAACCTGTCAGATTTCACCTATGTGGAAAATGTTGCCCATGCCCATATCTGTGCGGAAGAATCTCTAACATCTCAAATGGTTACTGCATCTGGAAAGGTACTCTAAAAATGTGAGCTGCTTGTTGTGCTGTCTATTACTTTCAATTGTGAAAGAGTATAATGGACTGAATTTTCTGTAGGTATTTTTTATAACTAACCTGGAGCCAATGAAGTTTTGGGAATTCACAACTCTTTTACTCGAGGGGTTAGGCTACCAGAGGTATCAAAATCTTATAATGGTTGTTTATTAGAAGCAAATAGTTCTTGCATGCATGTGTTTTGCGTGTTTATCTTCATGTTTTATTTATACTTACATTTATGATATTGTCACGATTCATACATAAAATCTCAAAAGTTCGGGATACATTAAGTTTATACCATATGCAGAAAGCTGGTAATCTCGTTTGTTCCTCCCTTCACGGTCTCCAAGATCTCAACTGTATCTTTGGTTTTGTCCCTTTAAATAGTAGTAGCCTAGATGTTCCTTAGCTATAATTATACTTTTATGAACAGATTACAGCTGCAAGGCTTAATGTTAAATAGTAAATACTTAATACTATCGTTACTGTTTTCTCCCTACCATTAATATCTTACTGCAATTGCATCCACGTACTATTTTACTATTCCCTTCAATATATATAAAACAAGGCGTTGAGTGTTACAGTCCAAGTGTCTGAAATCCCAAGGAGTGTTTCTGAACCTTTTGATAATTATTCAGAAAATTTACACGTGCAAGACAAAAAGCCACCTTGCATGTAAGGATCAGGAAGTGTTTTCTTTTTGTTTGCTTATGCCCCCAATGATATTTCAGGAGCATGTTTTCTATGTTAAACTCTTCACTGTATTTAGAAAGTTATGCTGTTTTGAGAGGGTGAAAAAGATTTCATATTGGATTCATAACTGAGAATAGTTTTATAAACTTTTTAAATGATTTTGACTTTTTTGCTATAATTATACATTCTTTACTTCCTTTCTGTTATAGCTTCAACCCTATAAATTATGCAGCTTATCTTTTTTCCACATCCCGTCCCCCTTTTTCACAGTAAGGAAGTTGGAGTGTAGCCGTTTCTTTTAGTGATATTTGTGGACAGCTTCCATCGTGCTGTGATGCTTTTTGTTTATTATATGCTTGCGATTCTGATTCTCAATAAGTAGCCGACCTGTTTAGCCTGCTGTTGAGCTGATTTTTTTTGTTTGCTGACTTTCATGTTGTTAATATCTGATTGTAGGCCTGTCATCAGTCTTCCTGCTTGGGTGGTCCACCGCGCTCTTTTGCTTATGAAATTGCTACAAGCCAAGTCAGACTCCAGAAAGCTTGATCCATGTGTTTCTATATGCAATATTACGACTTTAGCTGTACGCACCCGGACATTTAGTTGTTCGTCAGCTCAAAAGCATATTCAATACTCACCAGTTGTTTCCATGGAGGTAATTTTTCCATCCTTGATGTTCTCTATAAACCTTTTTCTTGTTATTTATTTATAATACAGAAAAATTGTCTTTTCGTGCTCTGTTTTCGCTATCTACTTAATGTAACGTCAAGCGCTATCTTAGCTCAGTTGTGGTTTGAGCTTTAAACTATGTTGAACGTCGTGACGGTTAAAATTGTTCAGCTTGGCTTTGTCTTTTTTAGATGCCAAACTCCAATAGTTTAATTCCGTTCTTTAAATAGTAATATCAATCTAAGTCAATCAGCAACGTGTATCCAAGGACTACTCAGAGATGAATTGCTCAGTTGGCAAACCTGTTTTTAGAAGTTACCAAATGACTATTATGACTTTGTGGGCAAGGCTCCGCTGTCATTTCTATTTGTTTGAGTTCCTCGATTATAATTGAGTTTAGCAAAAAAAGGAGTGTGCCGCAAGACAAATGTCATCTTTAGTTACATGCACGGTTCAGTCATCGGAGAATACTTACATTGGAGTTGCTATAGTTCTTAAGGGCCCAATATAAGATGCAGAGTTTATATGTTCTACAACTTGTTTAATTCAACAGATTCTGTTGATCAGGTCATTGGTTTTCTTTTAGGGTGCATTTGGATGGAAGGATTTGGGGAAGGGATTTCAAATCCATAATAACAAATCCCTTGGACTTGTTTGGATTGAGGGATTTGGGGATGGATTTCAAATCCACACCCCTTCTTTTTAGTTATGTTTTGAGCAATTGAGGTGGATTTCAAATGACTCCAAAATTGGAGTCATTTCAAATCCCTTCCCCAAATCAAATCCCTCCTCAAATCCTTCCATCCAAATGCACTCTTATTGTAAAAAGATTTCCCAATTCTACAATTCGAATGCTAGTCACCTTCACGAAAGTATAGCTTTGTCAATATATTTTTTTCATATGTTTTTGTAGAGTGAAGACAGTTCTTTACGAGTTTTTTTGTTTTTTTATTACATGTTTTATTGACTTGGGAACTTCAAAGCCCATGTCTGAGTATATTTACATACTAGATAAATTTCTTAAAGTGGAGGCTGTTTAATTTTTGTAGGAGGCGGTGAAACTAACTGTTGATTCCTTCTCTGATTTGGCAATAGACTCGCCTTTCATGAGATATGTGGACTCCAATGAGCCATCAGTAGTCGAGAAGCTGTTAGGCAGTGGAGAAGGTTAGTTATATTTTCATTGTGGCACTATATTGGAGTACTATCTCTCTCTCTCTCTCTCTCTCTCTCTTCCCCCCCCCCCCCCTCCCCCCCCCCCCCCCTCTTTCCCCCCCCCCCCCCCCCCCCCCCCCCCCAGATACCGATCCTTGCGGAAATTCCATGTGTTCGATGGAGTACAGCGTAACTTGAGAAAAGCTACGAAATATAGTTTTGTTTACCTTGTTACATTGTTAAGGAGAGAGCTCTAACTTGTATTTTTAACTCATGCAGGTGTCGGGTTGTCTGTATTTCTGTAAGTTGGTTATTCCGTATTACTTGACCACGGCTATTGGCTTGGGTACGGATTAGATACTATAACTATTCTTGGTCTTGTTTGGTTCTGATTAAAACATGCTTTTTATATTGAATTGATTGTATGTTATTTGATCGTATGTTATTGTGGTTAAACAAATGCAGTGTTGATTGTTTCATTCACTTCATGCTTCGTGTACGAGCAATACGAGAAGAAATTTGACGTGATAACGAGAGTTGCATTCACCATTGCTAGCAAACTGCCGATACCTTTGAGCTCCGTCTCCCCAAACTCTAAGCCTTCATTAGATAGTCGGCAGTGAGTAATCTTACGTTTTTTGTAACTTGTCGTCCCGTGCAATACTGTAGCTTCTGTAGATATTGTATTTTAGCTTCTATAGTTTACATTGATATATACATATATATATACCAAAATATTTTTTCTTTTCGCTCGAATTTTCGGTTGCTAATAGATCTCCTTACGTACTTGTTAAAGATTTTCGTCTTTTGTCATTATCTTAGTTAAGAAAGCTTTACCAAATATGGATGCATTTGCTGTTATGATATTTTGAGATGGATTTCTAAGAAAGCAGGTTACTGCAAATCTTTTACTCTGGGGATGGCTATTTGCAATACTGCTGTTTTTCTATACAAACACAAATATGCAACATCACAACCACACACACATACACAAAAGATCTTTGTGCAAGACCGCACGTAGCTCACACTGACAAACTCATCTTCTCTTTCACAACTTACAAACCTCATCTTCACAGATCCGCAAACCAACACTCGTATTTTTCTTCACAAATCCGCAAAACCCATCTTTTCCTTTTTGGTGGAACCGGAATCTTACTCTTGGAACTTGAATCTTGTGAATAACGCATTTTGGCCGGTGGATGCAGAGAGGATATTGGGGACCCCGTTGGACATACGAAAGATACTTAGATTTTGCATCACTCGAAGCAAGGAAATTATATGGTGAAACACACCCGCATATCGTATGCTTTTCGATGGCCATTTGCTGTCGAACCATTATGGGAATGGAGGCAACGACTCAAACATCGAGATTACCACTCGAGAATGAAAAGTTATATGGCGGTTGTCATTACCACCGAAGATAAAACAATTCCTATGGCGCTTATATGGAAACAATTTGCAATTTTTGTTTATTTATTTAATGTCTTTTCCAATTTTTGTTTCTCTTTTGTCAAGAGAACATGCAATTGTTTAGCTCAATTGTCTTGTACTGATATTCTTGAAGGAAGATCTCCACCTGTTTTGGCTGATATAGCTTAATAACATCGTTACTTTTCCTCGAAAAAAAAGTAAACTAAACGACAAAAAGAAAAAAAACATAAAAAAAATAATTAAAAAAAAGTAAAATAGAGGTTGATCATTTCCTTAATTAATGGGTGGGTATAAGTAAAACAAGCATTTTTAATGAATTTAAAAGGACAAAAGTAAAACACACAAAATCCTCCGTCCCAAAAACAATTACAAGGAATAGAACTACTCGAAACAGGCAGGGAAAATTACATTTTTCGTCCTCATACTTTACTCATTTTTTCAAAACTGTCCCTAAACATTTTGGAGTTACAATAGTAGTCCTTAATCATGCCATTTTTTGACAGAATTGGTCCACCGTTAATTTTTGCCGTTAAGTTGGATAGAGAATGGCATGTGCCTCTCACATGCCTTCAATTTACAACACTTCATGAAAATGGACTTTCAACAACACGCATTGCGTCTTGTTAAAACATATTTTTTATAATTATTATTTTTAATTAATTTATATAAAAAAGAAATCACGTAAATTCCAAAAAAATCAACTCATTTCGGAAATATTGTTTAAAAAATCAAAATATAGTTTAAAATTTTAAAATATTGTTCCAAAATCGGCATTTTTGGAATTCAATTAAAATATATCGTTTCTAACCAAAATAAAAAAAACCCGATAGGAATTGGGGAATTAGAAATCTCCATTCCAATTTTCACCTCTAGTCAATTCCAAAAATCCCAATTGTGAGACAATATGTCGAGTTTTAAATCATTCAATATGGGTGAAAATTGGAAAGGAGTTTTCTTATCTCGCCTAGTTTGATCGAATTTTTATTTTATTTTAAAATAATATTTTCATTCAATTTCCAAAAATTCCGATTTTAACTTATTTCTTTAGACAATATTATGATTTTTTAAACAATATTTCTGAATTTATTTTGAAAAAAAATATCGAGTTTTAGATTATTAAATAAGGGTGAAATTTGGAACGGAGTTTTCTTACTCCGCCTATTACGATCAGATTTTTATTTTATTTAAAACAATAATTTTCATTTGGATTCAAGAAATTCCGGTTTTAAAACATTATATTATTATTTTAGACAATACTTCTAAAAATATTTTGAAATAATTTATCGAGTTTTACATTATTAAATTAGGGTGAAGATTGAAATGGAGGTTTCTTATCCCACCTATTCAGATCGAATTTTTATTTTATTTTGAAACAATGTTTTCATTTGAATTCCGAAAATCTTGATTTTGAAAGGAATATTTCATTTTTTAAAACAATGTTTCAATTGGTTAAATATTATTTCTCAAAATATTTTAAAACAATATATATCGATGTTGCTTGTTTGGAAGTTATATAATTTCGAATTTCAATCAAGTTTTAATTATGAAAAATTTGTTTTAACAAGACGCAATGCGTGTTGTTGAAAGTCTATTTTCATGGAGTGTTGTAAATTGAAGGCATGTGAAGGGCACATGCCATTTTCCATCCAACTTAACGGCAAAAATTAACGGCGGACCAATTCTGTCAAAAAATGGCATGATTAAGGACTACTATTGTAACTCCAAAATGTTTAGGGACAGTTTTGAAAAAGTGGGTAAAGTATGAGGACGAAAAATGTAATTTTCCCAAACAGGCACAACCCAATTTACATCAAAAGCCCATGAAGCCAGATTGTGGGTTGCAAAATTTGCATTTCAGGAAATAAATAAACTTGAACTGCCACTTAGGCCAAAAGGCCCAAATTTTTTTAATATCTACAATGATCGCCTGAACATTCCAGTCAATATTAGCGGAGTTGGAGTTGATGAAAAGGATGGCGTTCGATTCAATAATGGCCTCGCGGATCTTTGCATGATTGAGAAATTGGCATGCTTTCTTTGATGGCAATAGCTTCAGCTACGAGAGCGTCCATGCAAAGGTGATGGCTTGAGGAGGGAAAAATGATAGATCCATGACTGTTTCTATTGATAAAACAAGCATTAGTGTGTAATGTAGGAATATGTAAAATGAGGGGTTCACTAAACTGAAAAAAACTAGAAATTCTTCTCGTGCGATGCACGGGGTAGCATTGCAAAATGGAAGAAAATTAAATATATGATAAGTAAATTCTATATAAAAAAAATATATTACACAGTATTAAAATAATTAGATGTGAAATTTAAATTACCAAAATAACATTAAAAAAAAAATTAAATTAGGCAGGGCAAAACAATTAAAAGAAAATCCATATTGGTGTGGGTAAGCTAGAAATATTTTATTTTACTCTTCTGAAAATTAAAATAAAAAAAGTTTTACATCAGTGTATGTAAAATAGAGATATATCCAAAGAGGTAACTAAAAGAAAAAAAATGGGTTTTTGTACATAAGTCCCCAACCAAACATCTTTATTATTCTAGGTTTAGGGACTATATCTCTTTCATCAATAAGCCCATCCCTTTAATATTTATTATAAATAAAGGAAACATTCATGTATATGCCAATATTACCCTCAACCTTTTATACCCAATTCTTAATTGTAATCCTAATTTAATCAATTTTATCCACCAAATCTAATTTTGACTATTTTTTTTTCAAAAACTTTTTTTTTTCAAATTTTTTTTTTGCCGCCGGATACCGGCATTGACTTTTCAAAATTGGAGCATACTTTAATATGGTCCAATTTCATACTTAACTTAATTTAATCTCAATTTGACCCCAAATTTCACAAATTATTCAATTTTGAACCAAAACTTTCTTTTTTCAAAAAACAAAATTTTGCCGCCGGATTCCGGCGTTGACTTTTCAAAAAAAAAAATCGCCGGTTTCCGGCGTTGACTTTTTTTTTTTTTTTTTTCTTGTCTTCCGGATTTTTTCGCCGGTTTCCGGCATTGACTTTTTTTAGTGTTTTTTTAAGTTTTTTTTTTGTTATTTTTACGTCCGGCGCTAAACGTTGACCTTAATTGTGCTGTCACTGACAGTAAATTAACGTAATTATACTGTCAATGATAGTTAATTAACGTAATTGTACTACCGTTGACAATACATATATGTAATTGTTCTGCCGTTGACAATAAATTAACGTAATATTATTTTTTTTTATTTTTTGTTATTTTTTTTTATTTTGTTTGATTTGTTGATAAGTCAACGTCATTATATTACTGTCGTTGACAGTAAAATAACTGTAAACACAATAATATTACTGTCAACAACATCAATATTATTATTTTTTTGGGTTTTTTTATTTTGTTTGAGTTATTCACGGAGTAACGTAATAATATTACTGTCTATTATTGTAATATTACTGTAAACACAATAATATTACTGTGGTTGACGGTAATATTACTGTTGTTATAGTAATATTGCTGTCAACCACATCAATATTATTATTTTGTTTGAATTGTTTTGTTTGTTTGAGTTTTTCAAGGAGTAACGTAATAATATTACTGTGGTTGACGGTAATATTACTGTTGTTATCGTAATATTACTGTCACTCACAGTAATATTAATTCTTTTGGCTTTTTATTATGTTTACATTTGTTGAACGGTCAACATAGTAATATTACTCTATTACACAATAATAATGAGTTTTGTTGTGTTAATATTACCGTGTTAGAGATTAATATAACAATATTACTGTGTTAAACTGTAATGTAGTTAATTTTATTGTGTTTAACAGTAATATAGTTAATATTACTGTCAATCACAGCAATATTGTTGTTTAAACGAAAAAAATGGTTACGGAAAGAAAGAAAAGAAAAAAAAAAAAACCGAAAAAGTCAACGCCGGAGACCAGCAAAAAAATCCGGAAGAAAAAAAATATTGAATAGTCAACGCCGGAGACCGGCGGGAATTTTTTTTTTTTTTGAAAAAAAAAATTTGTGTCAAAATTGAATAATTTGTGAAATTTGGGGTCAAATTGAGGTTAAATTAAGTTAAGGATGAAATTATAGCATATTAAAGTATGAGGGGTTATTTTAGTCCTTTACAAAAATTTGGACCATGTGTGGACTTATTAGTAAAGGAGATTTTTGTCTGGATCTCTTTATGAATAAATACTCATTGATGGGCTTATTTGTAATCATCCCATCAGATTAAGGGATTGTTGTAATCCCATCGAAATTAATAAAGATTTTTCGTCACAAATTTAATTAATTTAAAAATATGTTGCCTTGTCTAAAGAGTCA